TGGACCAATACTATTTACTTTATATATACTCCCTTTAGGCTACATTATTAGGAATCACTCCATTAACTTTCACTGTTATGCAGATGATACACAGTTATATCTATCAATCAAGCCCGATGAAATTAATCAATTATCTAAATTACAAACATAAAACATGGACATAAAATCCTGGATGAGCTGCAATTTTCTGATGTTAAACTCAGAAAAAAACGAAATTCTTGTACTTGGTCCCAAAAATCTTAGAGACCCACTGTCTAAAGATATAGTTACTCTAGATGGCATTAACTTGGCCTCTAGCACCACTGTCAGGAATCTTGGAGTTATCTTTGATCAGAATTTGTCATTTAATTCCCACATAAAGCAAACCTCTAGGACTGCCTTCTTTCATTTACGTAATATTACAAAAGACACATCCTACCACAGACAGATGCAGAAAAACTAATCCATGCATTTGTTACTTCTAGGCTGGATTACTGCAACTCTTTATTATCAGATTGCCCCAATAAGGCCATTAAAACGCTGCAATTAATTCAAAACGCTGCAGCACGAGTACTGGCAGGAACTAGAAAAAGAGATCACATCTCTCCTGTACTAGCTTCTCTGCACTGGCTCCCTGTAAAATGTAGAATAGAATTTAAAATTCTCCTCCTCACGTATAAAGCTCTTCATGGTCAGGCCCCTTCATATCTTAAAGAGCTCATAGTACCCTATTACCCCTCTAGAACACTATGTTCTCTGAATGCTGGGCTACTTGTGGTTCCTATAGTCTCTAAAAGTAGAACAGGAGCCAGAGCCTTCAGTTACCAAGCTCCTCTCCTGTGGAACCAGCTTTCAGTTGTGGTTCGGGAGGCGGACACCCTCTCCACATTCAAGAGTAGGCTTAAGACATTCCTCTTTGATAAAGCTTATAGTTAGGGCTGGATCAGGTGAGTCCTGAACCATCCCTTAGTTATGCTGCTATAGACCTAGACTATCAGGGGATTTCCCTTGGTGCACTGAGCTCCTCTCTTCCTCTCTCTTTCTGCACTCATTCAGGTCCCATGAATGCATGTTACTAACTTCACTTCTTCCCCGGAGTTCTTGTGCTTTCTCGGCTTGGAGGTTCTTATCGATCCTGGTGGAGCCTCCTGCCATTGTCCTGCTAGATTGCCATTACCAATACTGTTGTTGCTGTGCACCTGTCTGTCTGTCTGTCTGTCTGTCTGTCTGTCTGTCTGTCTGTCTGTCTGTCTGTCTGTCTCTCTATTTGAAAAGTGTCCTGAGATAACTTCTGTTATGAATTGGCGCTATACAAATAAAATTGAATTGAATTGAATTGAATTGAATTTATCACCATCTGCAAGGGCGGATCTAGAGTGCTGGCATGGGGTGGCAACAGCCCCCTAAAAATGCCACCCCACTTTGGTGTTAAATGCTGTCTAATTTAACACATTAATTTAGATTAATATTTTTAGAATAACGTGTTAAAAAACTGAAATGAAGTGAAAAAATGTGTTTGGATATTTTGGATTTCTAATGCCACCTTTATATATTTCTATTCAATTCATTACTAATGTGTCACAATAATGTAACGTTTTGAGTTGAAATTACATCATAATATTGAATAAGCATATATTTCTGCCACCCTTTGCCACCCAATAAATATTTCTCTAGACCTGCTCTTGCTTTTTTATATTATATACTATTATATTATATCATTTATAGACTGACAGGCAGACTGAGATATTTATTCCTGAATGTGTTACAACTTGACTTTTTGCATAATATTAGGATAATAGTGGGGTTTAAGTTATAACCAATGTCTCTATTACTGGTTAATGAATCATCAGTAACAATTTTAAGCCACATTTGGGGTTACCAGTTTATGAAAAATCCCATTGATCACATAATGTACAGAAGCTACTGTACAAGAGATAAAGTTAGGGCTGCCTCTGTAACTCCAGTCTTTGCTGCAGTGACCATGGGTGAGTGGCAGCTCCTATCAATAAAGGCAAAATCCCCCAATCCCCCAAAATATATTTTTTTTAAAGAGAGAGAGAGAAAATTAATAAATATGATATCAGATATCACAGATATACACTTTTTGGTTCATTCAGTTCACCCCATCCTTAGAGTTGGACTATTGTTTTTTCATCCAATTGTATTTAAGAAATGTATACTCAAACACTGGAAATCCACATACCACATACATGACTACACTGACAAACAGACAATTTGACAAACATATTAACTCAAATTGAAATCACATTGGGAGAAGTGTTACAAGCAAGTACGTGTAAATAAAAACTTTTTGTTTTACTTTGTTCTTTGTTTGTTTGTTTGTTTGTTTGTTTTCAGGTGTTTTTTGGAGAATGACACAGGCGGTAAATAATGAGACCCTGATCATATTGTTGACGTTTCAGTAGTTAAGGATAAAAGATCCAAGAGTTATATTATATGATGTATGTTTATGTTTATTTATATTTCACATATTTTATTTAAGTTGATCAAACATGAGGTTGAGTTTGTTTGTTTTATATTTAGGGTAAATGTGTGTTCTAGGTTTTGTTTTGGTCTTGGATTTGTTAATGAAAGATGTTGATTGATTGTATATATTGTTGTGGAAATTTCTCTGCTGCTGGTGAAGAATGAAATAGAGAACTTCTGCCGGCCGACAAGGTTTTATTTTCTTTGCAAAGAAAAGGTCAATCAACACGCGAGCGGTCAAAGATGAAGAAAGATCCCGAGCATGGGGAGACCTAAACATTTACACCTGAGGAACACCTCTTTCACATCCCTTTGTCTGCTGCAAGGGTCTGCCCCTCCAGGAAGTGTTTTCACACCCTTTTGTCTATTGCAGGTATCGGCGCCGACCCCCCGTTGATGTATTTTACATCTGAGATATCCTGCAGTATTTAGGTGCAAAGCTGAGTCTAGACATCACAATTTAAAAAACACAAAAGGACCTGGTATCTTGTGTTAGGAAGGGGGAGGTTGGGCATCTGTTGTGGCTGAAACAAAGAAATTGAAAATAACAATAATAATAATATAATCCAGAAATAATGAATAGATAGTGGAATAAACAACTGTAACCAAGTTTTGTGGTCAAATAAGATTACTGGTAGTTTATAAAAGGGGGGTTTCACTAAAACTGCCACCTCATAATGTTATTATTTTACAAATGAAGTAACTCCTTACCATAGGCAGTCCTGGTTTATGTTGATTAGTCCCCTACAGTCAGGCTAGGGGAGTAACAGATAACATGTAGTGGAGTTATGTAATCAGGATACAACAATTTGCACTGAGCAATAGGATTTTTAGCGGGATTACAGTTTTAAAACAAGCTACAACGCAGTACAGTGTAGGCACAGTATAGGCTGCTGCTGTAGAGTTCTTCTTTAAATATATACACTGAGCAGAGGACACATTAATGATACTAAAAACCTTGGCTACATTGTTCCGTTGTCTTATAGAATATGTTAAAGTCATCGTATTGAGATTCATTTTGTTGTCCTTATTTACATATTTGGTATTAAGATGATCCAAAAGTTACAGAAAGTAATCAAGTTACTTTACTTTAATATTGTGATATTTGGATTAGGTCACTGACTATATTGTGTTGTAACTAAGGTAATTAGTTACTAATTAGTGTTGGATTACATTTTTATAGTTACCCTCTCAACCCTGCCTAAGAACCCACCATTTAAATTAGACAGAATATACAGGAAATACTGAGCCACAGTGCATAGATAGTGTGTATATGTTATACTGTATGTACTGTATGATTCTTGTGTTGGTCTATTCTGTACATCTATTCCATGTCTGTTAGTCCTCGGAGAGGGATCCCCTCCTCTGTTACACAATTTTATCCTCATTAAAGGGTTTTTGTTTTTTTGTTCTGAATTCAGTCGAACAACTCTCATTTGAAATATTTATTACACTAGTGCAACATAGTTTTTAGTGTCTAGGCTCCAACCTCATCACTCCCAGCAGATATGTTTACATAGAGATATTGGGGAGTGATACAAAGGCAGCAGAGGGAGAACTGGGAAATTTTGCAGCTTAAATAGACCGCCAGATTGGAAGGGTGTGCTTGGTTTGTGTGAGGCACTTTGTGTGTGCAGCAGAGCTAGGGCTGGGCAATATATCGATGTAAAAAATATATCGATATATTTTTAAATGTGATATGGAATTAGACCATATTGCATATATCGATCTAGTTCAAATTTGCAATGTGATCCTTGCTCTAAGCAAGCTGTTGACCCGGAGCTCTCTGCACTGCTCCCCGCGCCCCCGCCACCACCCCTCCTCTTTCAATAACCTAACGTAATGTTTGTGTTCACATCCATAATTTAGACTGTAACGTTGTCAGACTGTTAGGTTAGCTAACTGCTGAGTAATTCACTGATGTTACAGGTAACGTAACGTGGTCTTGTCAGCAAAACCCAACGTTAATATTGAGTGTGGTTTTAGTCAGGATGGGTTGCTTGTTCTGTTTACAGGCAGCAAATCTTTATCATACCATTAACGTTATGTTACTAACATTACAGACACTTGTTGCTGAGTCAACCTAACGTACAGCTCAGTAATAGCGTTAACTTACGTTACGTTGTTTTAACGTAATTGTACTTGCTTGTGTAATAAGGGTAGCAGTTTTGGTGAGTGGTAACAGCCTTACTGCCTTCTGAAAATATTAAATTAAAAGTTATAATGCAGCCTAACTTCACAACATGTGTGTGTGTGTAGGTGTGTCTGTGTATGTGTGTGTGTGAGAGAGAGAGAGAGAGAGAGAGACACTGAACATGTGCTCTCACTTTGCGGAAAAAATATCGGGATATATATCGTATATCGATATTCAGCCCAAATATATCGGATATGACTTTGGTCCATATTGCCCAGCCCTAAGCAGAGCAGCTCCATTTGTGATATTGAGCTGTATAAATGAAAACTGACTTGTCCTTACATGCAGATTAGTTTTTCAGACACGTTCCACTGCTTGAAAGAAAGAATGAACTGTGAAATAACAAAATTGTGTTTTATTATTGCACACAAGAGCGTTATTTTGAAAATAAGTTTATAACAAGTGCAAAAGTAAAACAACTTAAAATCAGCCAAACAATCAAATTCATGATTGCACACTTTGTAAAGTTCCTATAAGTGCATTAAAACCCAACCTACAATTAGTCTAAAGGCACATATGTATTGATTATATGATGATTGAGTGTGTTAGCAAGCATTGCAGGTTTCAGCAGGATTCAGCCTAGGAGCTGGTTTTGGTTGCTCTGACAATCACTGAGCTGCCGGTGAACATTGTGGGGAAGAAGTCATTCAAGAACTGGTTCTTCAGACGGTGCAGGAAGTGGACGTATCTCACCCCAGGTCCATAGCCAGAGAACACATGCGACACCTGCAGGCCAACAGAGAGATGTGCAATGAGAAACTGGAACCCTTCAGTGCAGGTAGATTACTGCATCTGTCAGTCTCTCACCTCCTTCCACGTGTGGGAGTAAGTGCTGAGTTCCTCGGTGGGGTTGGCGGTGTGCTCTGAGATCACTGTGCTTTTGTCCGCTGCCAGTAACTTCACATGCAGCTGGTAGATGGACTCATGCAGCTGACTCTCTTCATACCTGACAGAATGACAGATGATTCAAAGGTTATGGTGTGCCAAGAAATTATTTTATCACAGGATGTTCAGGAGTTAACAGATTGCAGGATATTGAATCTCTCCAAACCAAGAATAAAAAGGACTAATTAAGAAGTGGATTTACACATTTCCAATTTATTTCTAAATAACTTCCAAGAGGTTTCCTGGAAAAAATATAATTTGGTATTCATTTTAGCGAAAATTATTCCTCATTGAACCAATCCTTGAATGAAAGTCCTGTTTTCCTTATATTGAGTACCAAATTACATCTTTCCAGAGAATTAGTAGGACATTTTGGGAAAGAAACTGAAGTTTTTGTGACCAGCAACAATGGTGAAATAACAATGGTTTGAATATTCAAACAAACCAATAAGAGAATATTTATACTGGTTTGTGCCACAGAAGAAAGATACAAGAAGTTGTAATTATAGTCCTATTAGATTATACATTCTACAGGTTTATTGATTATGAATTACAAGGCTCGATTCTGATTGGTCAAATACTACATTTTACGGATGCAGTTCTGACCATAGACCATGGACTACAATGGAAGCAATAAAATCATTTTTAAATCAATATTTTCTTGTAGTAACCATGTAAGTGTAAGTGGCTACTTATCTACGTCTTGATAACTTAATTATCTTAAAAGGTCCAGTGTGTAACATTTAGGAAGATCTATTGGTAGAAATGGAATATAATATTCATAGGTATGTTGTGTATAATCACATGAAATAAGAATCATGTTTTTGTTACCTTAGAATGAGCCATTTTTATCTACAGATGCAGAGGTTCTCCTTTACTCTAATGTGGTGAGTTATTTTAACTAAAAATAGTTTAAATGGATTACATTAACACAAATTTTGTAAGTTACACAAACATTCCTGATTAAGTACTTTTTACTAGATATTTTGTTTTCACAATACAAATAAAAAATACAAAATTAGGTAATTGTCACTTATTTAGCTTAATTATTAAAACTACTTGATAAATAATGATTTTTCTTAACTTACCAAATTGATTTAGTTTTACTTAAAAAGTTGAAGTTAATTAGTTCCAACATTTTTTTTTGTTAAATTAACTTTTCTATAGTATCCCAGAATGGACAAACCAAACACTGGCTCTAGATTGGAGTTTCGCAGACATTGTAGTTCCTCCTTTGTGCATGGAAGTTGAGGATGGTTAGAGGCACTAAATCCTACACACTGGTCCTTTAAATGCAAAGATAAAATAGATAATTTAGCAAAAGACAAGCAATCCCAAATCATAACACTATCTCCTGCATATTATCTACACAGACACCTGCCCATGCCCAATCTATTCAAACATTTTATATAACCTACATGACAGACTGTGAGACATGAACTGTACATGGTTCCATACACGTGTATACCGACCACACTGATAAGGCCACTGTGATAAGTAATTACACATGCACTGATATAAGGGCTGGAGGTGGGTGGGGGTGCTTATTAAACCCACCAGTCTTGGATGACTATTTCAGGCTGAAAATCATCCAGCAGCTCTTCCCACAGTCCTTCTGCCTTCAGGTCCACAACCTGCTCCATGGAGAACCAGCTGAGGATAAAGAGAGCAGAATAAGAGTCACAGTTTAAGTTGTAGCCTGATTTTAGATTTTACCAAACCAACTGTAGGTGCAGGTACTGTATATGCTAACTGGTCATCCCTGTTATAATAACCAGCTGCATGGTAGACATCAGATGCCCAGTGTTACCCACCTGAACGTTGGCATTTGACAGATCACAACACCTTCTGGGATGCCACTGGTATCATAGGGGAGGACCTCCGTGCTCGTGGTCCAGCCGCTGAAGTCACCTGTGCATTAATTAAGAGAAACATTTACCTGATCCGAGACTTTATACAAAACTTCATTCATTCCCTTTGTTTTCATTTGCTGCCAAATGTGCTGATCCATCCTGTCTCTCACCATCAGGTTGAAAACGCGGAGGCCCACGAGGTGGCACTTCAGACAGTTCAGGTTCAGGCGGAGGGGTGTCCTTGCTCAAGCCTGAGAGAAATAAGACAAAGAGACAACTGTAAATGGTACCACACCCACTGTAAATACCACAAAGCCAAAGAATACATCTTTCTGACAGGGTCACTGGGTGTGCCTCTGTGTAAAAAACTGTAATTATTAGTCAGCAGCTCATAGAGCTCACGCCTAAATCTCCAGTGTTGCTCTATGTGGGGTCATTTAAGAATCAGACTTTTCAACTTGCACTCCTTTTTTTTTTTACAGTGGTCACTTGAATTTACAAAACTGAAAGTGTGCAATCCAATTACCTACTTTTGCTTATTCCAGTTCTTTGTTTTAATGCTTAATGTAATGTAAATGTCTCAGATGTGGACAGATTTGTTTGCTTTCACCATCAATGCTGCTAGCTTACCCATAAGAAATGAAGCTCCAATATGTTTTGTGGCTCCAGACAGACTTTTCTGGGGGGGCAAAAAGCTGTTTTGATAGTAAAGGTTGCTAACCTCTGTCATATGTTATCACATCCTGTGTCACTTTCCTCCTATTTCACTTCTCACACAGACACTTTGATACCTTTAGAATATGTTCATGTATAAATATGTACACACTAAATAAAGCCTTCCAGAATTTGTATATGTTTTTCCTCAGACAATCACTCATATTCTACAAGACAATGTAGAATACAATTCAAATACATTTCAATCTTCCGTATTGTTGGACTTCCCATAATAAATATTTATTCAAATAGAAAGAACCATCTCTTTAGGACAATCTACTTCCATCACTACAATCTACATTATCCTTTTTCAAAAAACATCTGAAGAGGTCTCTAATTAGCAAAGATTTATTTCCCATTTAATGAATCTCAATATAATAATATAAATCTGGTAAACATAAAACTCTCTATCGTACATTTGTAAACAAAAACATCTTTGTCAGTTGTACATTTCTATCAATCTTGTATTTCTGCTGATGAAACTTTGACGTAGCCCATTACACAATCTTTGTTTTTATCTGTTTCTCTTTTTTTTTAGTATAAATGTATTTATACAGTACAAACCTCTCCTGTACATTGTACTTTTTAAATGTACTGTATAATATATATGTACAAATAAAATAAAATAAATGAAATATCCCACCGAGCATAAAACACACACAATCCTGTTGAGGATTTCAAATGCTACTTTTCGACACTTCCGGTACCACAAACAGAACTACATTTACCTCCACTTTCTGCTCAATCTTAGTGGAGATCTGAGAACCTAACTCACTGAGGAACACAACTAACCAAACTAACCAAATGTATGACAAGTGTGACGTACCTAACATACCTTTATGACACTGTTTGTTTCTATGGTTGCCACTATCCCTGTGTACTGTACTGATAATGTCACAGACAGACAGTGTGGGTATATATATGAGCACCATGGTTTATTTCAGCAGATAAGGCTGTAAAGTGCACACCACTGTAGAGCCCACAGAATAAATACTGAACATCAAAACCAAATAAGCAACAGCAATGAAGACAGAAACATCCTCAGGGACTGTAAGCACAGTGTAGTCTTGCGTTGTAACTGTCAGATTTCACAAAGCCAAGCTGCTCAGTTTAAAAAGAATAGGAGGAAGTCTGAGCTCTATTCTCTCAGTTGTTCCACTGCAGTAGTACCAGTTGCTACAACACACAGAAACCACCTCAGGATCACTTGAGCAGTGAACTACTTTGTGATGACTAATGAATCTAAACTTTGAAACACCCATACTCAAGTTACTGTAATAAGTAGGCCAAAATGTAGACCTACATTAACATCTGTATCAGCACTTAACTGGAAATCAGTATTATTGAACTCTGATCCCTCCTCGGCTTCAGTACTTTAATTTACAGCTGTCTTTGGATCACTACTGAGCAAGAAAACACGCGCATGAGTCGTGTGTGTGGCGGTGCTGAGGTACCGTGAGGCGCAGGGTTCTTCAGTAAGTTTCTGCCGAGCGGTCTGGCTTCATACACGGACTTCCAGTCCAGGCTGTCGGGCATCGGGGCGCCATGCAGGCTCCACTCAGCCTCACACTTCTTCTTCCATTCAGCGGCAGACATGATGCGACCAAATACTGTTTGAAATCAATGCAGGAAGTGAGAGGGTTTTCCTTATCCTCTGTGGTGTTGACACACCCCAGTGTCGCAATGTAAGCAACACAATGCACGTGCACCCCGGCCTCTTAAAGGCACAGTACTTTATTGAATCCTGTTTCCAATCGAGGCTGATCAAATACTAATTAATCAAATAATAATAAAATACGGTAAGCATAATAATTAATAACTTTATAAGCATAGTTGTGTATATAAATGCACATACATTTAAACATACATATATAAACACACATATAGAGACATATATGCTGATTTAATCGCAAACAATAGCATAAACCAATATAATGATGATATATAATGGTATTTAAACTGGAAACAACTACATTATTGTGGAACATTAGCAAATCATTTAACAGAAATATGGTTGGCATTCCAGGTGGCATTAGAAATCAATAAATTGTTTTCTTTCCAAATCTTTTCTAAATACATGCCTTTTATCATTGAACTCGCAATGTGGCCATGTCAATAAATTGTAACGGCTAATTAAAGTTTGTAACACCTTCTTTTTAAATTAATCTAAATGAATGTGTTAAATGTAACAGCATTGGATACCAAGTTGTGATGGCCAGGCATTTTTTGCCGCCCCTATAGATCCACCTTTGTATGAAACAGACAAAAGGCAGTAAAGGGTCATTTGATGAGTCAAAAATATAACTCAGTACATCAATCAATAATAATGTTAAATAATTAAAACGGAGTATATAAAAAGAAATACTTTGTCCTTCACCTTTCTTTTTGTCCTGTGCTACCAATGAGTAGCAAAAATACATTTGAATTTCACTTTACTCTGTTTCTTTTTCGACCTCATTTAATGTACTTTGTGTTTTGGAGGATGCAGGACAACTGTAACGCTCCAGATGAAAGTTGTCACAAAACAGGAACCGGATTAAAGCAGGAGAAAAATAATCTGTGAGACAGGATTTAATAGGACAAACTGGTAAAAGAAATCACAAAACGTATGTTTTTTAAATACACTTTTATGTTATACTTTTTAATAGTATTTGAATCTAAGCGTAATTTATCACTGTGTAAATTGTTTTGAATCACATCAAGTAGGCCTAACTAATTACAATTTACCACTGATATACTATTCAAGTTGCAGACTGCAGAATCCATAGAACACACCTTTGAACAATAAATCACTTATATATATTATACAGTTTTATGAGTCAGCAGTGGCAGCCTGTCTGCTAACTCTTATTGTTTCTTTCTCAAGCACTTTGCACCTATATGATCACTCCATGGTTACAGGAGGAGACACTTCTGACCTTTGCACTGCTTAGGTTGATGTGCTGTACGTTTACTGGGCAGAGATGAATGTATGCTCATGGTGCACTGATAGATCCTAATGCAAGCTTTATGTAGGCCTGTTCGAATGAAGGGGTGGCTGCAGAGTATCCATTATGAAATGAGTTCAGCAGGGTATTTCCAGCTTCACCTGTTGGAATGAACAATAATGTCACATTATTTTGATTCCTGGCTTTGTAGACTCTTTAAACTCTTCTTTTCCCTGTCTTTTTGGCCATGTTCACACTGCAGGCAAAAGTTTGAGTTTTTGCTCAAATGTGACTCAGATCTAATTTCTTCATGACAATGTGAACAGGGCAATTCACATGGAATCTGGTCTTTTCAATTTTGATTTGGGCCACTTGGATGATGTCCAAATCAGATACTGGTCAGATTTTTTATAGTGTGACCTCAGTGTGAACAGTCATATAAGAATTCATGTGACTTTTATGTCACTCTAGGTCTAGATTCATCACACAGATCACTTCAGGTCTGTGATCTGTCACACTGGAATCTGATATGGGCCACAGATCTGAACAATAAATCAGAACTGAGCACTAAGGCTTGCAATGTGAACGTAGCCTTAGAGAGGTTAAAGCTCCAGGTCAGCTGCAGATAGTAACGAGTTTTCACTGTAAACTTAAATGGATGTGTAGTAAGTTTTGTTTAGAGAAGAATTACATATGTAATCAAAATGTGTTCATTAAAAGATTGCTTACATGTTTTTACTGAAACTAAGATTTGAGCAATGGTCTGGGAATATTTAAACACAAGATGGAGTCATGTTTATTATATACTTTCCAGTATATGGTAATTCTGTGATCTGCACTGATATGACTGTTGAGTTGAATATGGGTTTCTTATGAATACCTAGATTTGACAAATTGAGAAAGGCAGGGTCCACATACACAGCAAATATTTTACAAATGTCTCCACCTTGTGGATTCAAGCAATATGTGCAGTCAGTTGTATTTGTTTTCCGTGTGTATATGAACACACACTTTAATGTACAGTTGATGTAAGCATTTTATTTAAAAAAAACAATTATAACTGAATTCATGAAGACATATTTTTATAATATTACAGCTGTATTTTATTGTAATTCATTATCTGTTTACACAGCAGCCTGCACTTATTGGTGCCACAGCAGGAATTAAAACAGTTACACAAAAATATGTCAGCTACTGCCTATTAAAGAATGCTTCTGCCTAAACAAAATACTGAAACACACCTTTGACCTTAATGATTCTTCAAATTGTTGAAATGTGTTTTATTAAATCAACTTATTTTTGTGTTATTTTAAGTAGAACTATCTTTATTGTCAAGGAAGAAACATTTCCAAAGCAAATACATTTGACCTAATGTTGATTGTTTTTATATTACAGTATACTGTGTACCACCATGTCAAAAACTCCACCTTACATTGACTGCAAACAGTTTTTCTTGGTCAAACTGGGTTTATTCCAAATATTTTTTAATATTCATTTTATGTGGTTAATTCAGGTGTGTTGCTAAGATAAGCCTGAAGCACATTTGAGGGCTAAAAATGAACATAAGTCTGGATGCTTGCCCATTCTCTAGGATGCTTTAAACACTAAAAGGCAGCTGGATGCTGTTTTGGCAGTTGAAAACAGCAGATATAGCTTAAACGTAAGTCATGGAGGTTAATTTATAGTTCAGCTGCCGATGACATAAGAAGGACCCAGAGACAGGAGGGTTTATGGTTGGCAGAGAGCCAGAGAAGCAACAGGGGGCAGCAGACACTGTGTCTGAAGAGTGAACTGCTGCGGGCAACACACTGTACTGTAGTATTATGGGTCCAAAATGCACACATACTCTTAGAATGGAAAAAAGAGAGGGTGTAACACATTTAAATGTAATGCTAAAGCTTTGTAAGTGTTTGCTCTTTGACCGAGGCTATAGGCTGTGTTGGAAAAATAGGACAGCATATTATTAGATTATGTAACAGACATTCAGTAATACGATCACAGCTGCCAATTGTTAGACATATGTTACTGCATGGACATATGTTTAAAAACACAATGTGGCCTCAGTGGTGGTAACAGAGTCAGTTTTTATAGTCTAACAAAATGTCAATGGGTACATATGACAAGTATGCATGGAGACTGATCAGAATTTGTATTTAAAAAAATGTACAGTAGCACCATTGCCACGTCCACACCACTCAGTGTAGACACAGTCATGTAGGCTGTGATAACTTCCCCACCTGGTTATGTCCGTATTCAGTTGACACCTGTTGTCTATCTTAGTGCCCCTGTGCATTGTGGGTTTACTGATCACTGTGTGTTCAAGGTGAACTCTGGCCTGATAATTCATTAGTTAATCAACTCAAAGTAGTGAAGCAGTTGAATAAACAGCTAAACTTTGACAGGACGGACAGTACAAACATTAGCTCTGCTATTAGTAGACGAAGAAGAATCCCTTCTAGTAGAATTACTGCTTTAACCCTGGTTAAAGGGGCAGGCTGGGGGATTACTACACAGCCTGTGAAAACACTCGTATAGCTCTGGAGGAGCTTTAACTAGTCTCAGAAATTAGCTGGACAGAGCCTAATGTTCCAATTACAATCGGTTTAAAAGGTGAAGAATAAAAATCCTTCATATAAACACCTCAATCAGAGTAAACTGGCCCAAACAAACGGGGTAGTTTCCTTTCATAAACCAATCAAAAGATAAATTGTACCATGTGAATGATTTAACCTGATTACTTTCTGGCTGTGTTCTTTCTTCTGCACATGCCTTCCGTCTTGACATAAATACTTGGGGACGTACGCGTCTCCATGTCCAAAAAGTGTCCATACATAACAAGACCACTGCGGAGAGTTTGTTTGTGATAATAACTCTTAAATAACAAACATTATTGGCCGCTTTTCACAGCAGCCATTTTTACATGGACTAGTAGGGTAAACACAGCTGTAACCTGTAACATGAATACTATGTAATGTAAAAATGGCTGCACTGAAAAAGGTGTATTTGCACATATTTATTTTGCTCCCACGAGTAAATCCACTTATGGTGGCAATTCCACTAGAATGAACTTAAAGTGACCTAAATTTTTCAGGCCTTTAGACTTAATATTTTACAAATAAAATAATTTACATTATTAACAGGAAGGCCTAAAAAAGATTATTGCATTATGGGAATTCTACTGCAGGATTCAACGTTTTTGAACTTTAAATCATACAAGGGACTAAAAGCCAGGATATCTCTGCCTCTTCTGCTTTGATTTTGACCATACTTTATAAAACCTGTCTGCCTGAAAATAACTGGAATACACTTTTAGGGGTTACACGACACGTTAAGAGTACCAATAGAAAACCTGACTATCACTTTCATCCGGCTATCCATTCAATACAGAATCACTCATATAAACAATAAAAGAATGACTTCATGTGAAAGCAACCATGGACAAACCTATAAAGGTGAGACTTACACACACTATATTTATCATTATATATGTATACATTTTCCCCAGGGTTATGGCACAGAGCCAGGTGTAGCTGCATGTTACATTCCACAGTACGGCATGTCAGTTGCAGTCACATCACATGTGCAGTGATCCATGGTCACAAACTGTACTTCAAGCCCTGGAATGCCGATTCATTCAGATGCACTGATACATATTTAGTATGCTTAAATAAACATTCTCCAACTAGCACATGGTGTCCTTGTGTTTTGGTTCAGTTAATCCTTCTGAGAGGGCCAT